TAGTTCTATTTAGCTCAAACCAGGACATCCTGTCATGTCTGAAGTATTTTTTAGAACTGTTCTTAATTGACCTCTCCCTTCATTTTTGTGAAGGAAGTAGCAGAGCACCTTTGCTTCTCTGCCTATTGACTTTGAAGAGCGCTAAGAAAATACTAATTGTGTTAAGACATTGACTCATTCGCTATTCTAATATGAAAACAAAATGTTTTCTTTTGCTATTGAAATTACATCAGTGAGCACAAAATATCCTGCAGCTGTGGATTTTACAGTCTAGAAAAAAATATTATTTTGTGCAAGCAAGTTTTCAGCCTGTAGTGTCATCATTCCAGCTCCCCTTCTTGTCTTCTGAAGTATCATCTTTGGTTAAGTTCTGCCATCTTTTGAGTGTTGCTGTTTTTCCTGATGCTTACATTGTCATTTATGGTCTGGTCATCTTTTTCAAAATTATTTTAGGTTTCACTGATTTATTCTGTGCAAAACAAATTTCTAAAATGTACTTTCTCCCCTCTTCTGAGCTCATAATCTTCCACCTTGCTTTTATCGTATCACTACCTACCTGCTGTGAATTTTAATGAACCAGGTTTTCCTCATTTGTACCTTAGAGGTGGCAAACAAGGTATCCATATTCAGAATTATGCTTTCATTTCCTTCTGTTTCTCTCTCCATTTCCCCCCCTTCCCTTTGTCATTTTTTTGGTCATTGTTATTAATTGCTTAACATGTATTGTTGCCACGCTACATACCAGGACCTCAGCAGAAGGCTGCCTAATGTACTGTGCATCACAGAAAACAGCAGATACCTCCGGCATCTTCTGTTTTCGCTTTTCCATCTACTGCTGTACTTCCAATACCTTTGAAGTGTACTTCCTGAATAGGAAAAAGTTTTTTTTCAGTAAATAATTTATTTTCAAGTCATCTCCATTTTCTGTAAGAGAGAAGTTTCCTTTCAGTATCTTTCCCTGCTGACCATTAGAAGAACTGCTAGCTGGTATATAGTGTTACCATTTGTCTTGCTTCTGCAAGGACCTGATTTTGCACTAAGCTTTCAGCACTTGCCTGTCTGAAAAGCACATCACACTTTGTGCTGATGAAGTGTCTGCCTCAACTAATTCACAGGAGGAGGAATATCCAAGGAATATCTTACTCCTTGTTTTTTATAGTTTTACAAATAGTAGTTATGATTTAAAATAATGAACATTATAAAAATAACGTTAATGGATTTTCAAAATTTATAAAGACCTAAAATACAGTTATATGCACAGTGTTTAGTTGTTAGGCTCTTTAAATGCAATGACCCCTCTTTTGATCTTAATTTTTTAAGTTTTATTTTATGTTTTGCCTTTGTAGGGTAAACCTGGAAAAGAAGGTGCCCCTGGTCCACCTGGCTTACCGGTAATGAAGGAAGCCTTCTAAATGTTTTCTAAGTAATAGTCATCTGTTTATCACAGTCATATCTTCCTGTCACAGCTTCTTCTTATTGCAGAATGTGTTTGAAAATGTTGATTTGCATACACTGTGAAATGCTTCCTTCCATACAGTTGGCCTTGGGACATTCCAGGTCCTCCTACACTTATGCAGGAGAGAGAGGCTCAGTTCATAGAAGATGTCTCTTCTGTGTAAAATAAAAATACCTGTTGCTTGCTGCTGTCTGATGAGTTTGAGACACAGTCCAAGTTATGCAAAATTAATTCTACTGAGTTTAATTTGGTTAGTCACACTGACATTTTTTCAAAAGAGTTACACCTTCACTGTGGTATAAATCATGAAGCAAAATGAGTAATTTATAATAACTAGAATCAAATATATTCTTTTACAAAGAAAACTTATTTTCAAGGTTACAGCTGCCTTGGTCTGAAACAAGGTGACTTGATAGGTATTAAAACTGTCATCTTGTTATCATACAGTTCTTAACATATGCCATTTTATAACCAAAATTATCTCATTTGTGTACTAATTTAAAAGCTAAGGTTGTTCAAATGTATTTGGAGTACTTATTCAATTGGTTAAATAACAATCCTCTTAAATTTACTTCACTTCCACTTTAACAACATCATTAAGGTCACAGTGACCTTACAAATATCTCATCAAAATTCTTATTGTCAGAATAGCCCATTTCACATATATATTACTAAAACATCGTCTTCATCCTTCCAAAACAACCTTTGCAGACAGTCTACACACATTCCAGTCTGACAAAAAATGAGGAACAGCAGGCCATAAAGCTCTACTGCCTCAGCTAACAGAAAGAAAACTTTCTGTCATGACAAGGATATGTCATTGCCCTGTTCCCATTTCGACTTTACTAACTAGCAGCACATTCAACTGCATAAGCCTCCAAGAAGTCCCTTTTCTGTGCATATATAAATTTACAGAAAGCCTTAGCAGGAGTCTGCACCATTTTCCCTCCTGATCTTGCTGACACCTCTTCAGATCAGCTCAATCATGCAGACTGACCAAGTTCTGGGAGAGGGAGGTGCTGAACATGAGAGTCACACTGTGTTCAGTTTCTCTCCTTTCAGAAGTAGTAGTTTTGCGGAGGGAAGACAAACCAGAGCCTCCTACACTTGTGCTATCCAGAGTGGCTCCTCCTTGGGATTGGTGGAGTGTGCTGTTAGAAACACAGGTTTGAATGAGACATCTGCGGTATTTCCCACAGACATGGAACTGTTCCCCAAACTGAGTATTTCCCTGAAATTTCTTCCCCTGAGCAAGTCGCATTCCCCTTGCCACTGCCATGAAAGATTAAAGCTTTCCATTTTAGATCTTACTGATGACAGCGCTAAAAGATGAATCCTCATAAAATTGTGTACTGTCACCTGCAGGGACAAAAGGGTGAACAGGGCAAACCAGGACCGGCTGGCAGGCAAGGAGCTAAGGTATTGTCTAATGGTTTTGTTGTTGCTTTTGAGGATGAGGATAAGGTATGTTTTGGGGTTATTATAAAATGTAATTTATCACTGTGTGTACATATGTTTTACTTTACCTAAAAGATGACAAGTAACGATGCCATGGAACAGGGCTCTAATAGTTCATGTGTTTGAACTGATACCCATTTATGTCTGCTGATGTGTTCCTATAGGTTTTGGTGTATGTGGCTGAATAGTTGTGTAAGGAACAGACGGGGGTGGTGAAGGACTGGTCAGGAGCAGAATTTCTTCTTTAATGTTATGAGCAATGTACTGAAGTAAGAGTGGGTACCAAATCTCATGTGATGTATTGTTTTTAATAAACCCATCTCTGTCCTCTGATGTAGGGGGTGAAAGGAAACACTGGTCCACCTGGAGCTTGTGGTCGAGTAAGTGTAGATTATCTTCATTGTATCATTTTTCTAAATGTTACAAAACAGTTACAAAATTTCACAGGAGTTAATTTTTAGACCAGTTTGTAATCAGTTCCAGAACAGGCATGTTAAATTTAAAATCCAGAGAAGACTTTTTAAAGAAAGCAAGAGGTGCTATGAGTACAATTTCTCTGCCTAGACATGCTATTTTGCTAGTGGCTTTCTTAAAGGCCCCATGCGCACCTAATGGAAACCTTTTGCCCAAATCATTCAAAAGAAATAACTTTGTAAAAAGCTGAATGATATTAACAGAGTACTAAAAAAACACTGCTTTCCAAAAAATCTATAGGAGAAAACTAAAAAAGTTTTCATTTTAATGTTAAGCAGTTTTTTATTCTTTTTAAAATTGGTGCATTAGTAGTCCATTTAAATTTCAGTGGGATGTTTATATATCAAAGCAGAATAATTATAGTACTGATTTGCCAGTAATGGTGCCCATGCAAAATAATCTAGAAAAGAGCAAAAACTTGTAGTTTGTAAAAAAAAAAACCAAAAACAAAAAAACCCCAGAGTTACAGCAAAGTGCCTTTTGATTTTGCTTGTCATTTGTAGAAACTTTGAAACATCATAATATTAAACTTTAATAAATTAAGTATTAATTTTTATAGGAATGACTTTAATCCACGTGTAACTTAAGTAGTTGATTTTTGTCTGTTGTCATGTATGATTATTTAAAAGAGCAGTCAAGATGTAGTTGATGCTGCTTTGAGCTAGTGGAATAGACTAAGTGATTCACAGAGGTTTCTTTCAAAAATATTTTCTATTTCATGCTACCATAATATTCGTGATTGGGTCTCCAACTTATACCTTGCCCGTATAGAAGGCAGAGAAGTTCTCTAGGAACTGAGGAAATGAGCTGAAATCTCAGCCCTACCTATTCATGCAGATCTCTTGGCGTTAGCTATGTATAACAATTGTGATTTAATTTCTGGCTGCTTTTAATTACCATGTGATGACAAAAGTCTTATGGTGTCACAACATCAAAATTATGAATGCGATTATAACATTTTTCTAACCAAATGTTCAATATGAGGTACTGTGTTTCTCTTCATTCTTACTATTCTTTCTTTTCTTACCATCTTTCTCTTAAGACAGAGTATTATGATAGTGTAGTTGGTGAAAAAGGAGATGAAGGACCCCCTGGACCTCCAGGACCAAAAGGTCAACATGGCATGCCTGGTGAGTGGGACATCACAACCAGAACCTTTTAGCAAGAGCTGTCCACTCAAAGGACTTGTTGCGGGCTAGGTTTCTGAGCACCCAGCAACCTGCTTCTGCCTTTAAAGAGTATTTCCAAATTACTCCCATCAAATTGCGGAACTGAAATGTATCCTGAGACTTTGATTTATGGCTGTATTTCCTCTTAAAAATAATGAAGCTAGCACACTTCTTTGCACAGATAATTGAGTTGAGCACCTAAGCTCGCTGACATTCTGTCTTATGACCTTAGTGAACTACTGGATCAGCACATTATTTGTATATGCCATAGACAAACCATCAGGGCTGTAAGTCTCCTGTTAAAGGTCATACACTTTTTTCTTTTTTTTTTTTTTTAATCTTTAATAATTTGTCATATGCCATTTTTATTACTTACCATTCCAAAATAATAAAGGTCTGCAAGTTTTACTTTGTTTATTTTGGCCATGCTGATATATTATTTGAGCTATATCATAATATAACAAGGACTTGTGGGCAGAACTCTGAAGCAGCATCTTGTAGACTGTATCTCATACTCATCCAACAAGTCTTTGCCTTCTGTGTTTTGATGTTCTTGTTTTATGAATATGTATGTATCCAAGTGATTGTGTTGCATTCAGTGAATGCATTTTGTTGTTTTAACTCTCTTTACATAATTACAAAGGACAGAAGCAGGAAAGTTAAGCCTTGCAAAGATACCAATGCATTTTTAAGAGGTGGTATAGGTACTACAGCAAATACTAGTGGCAACAAGAAGTACATTTGCAGGCCTGTAAGTCATTCTCAAGTAATTGAGTGCCTCCCCACCTCAGATAAATGTGGTGGATCCTATTCCTATCTGTTGTAAACATCCATATCTTGCCAGATTTCAGTGAGAATTGTCAGTATGCAGCAGTTGCTTAAGTAGTAGATGCCTACTCAGGCAAAACCAGATTCTTGAAAGATAAAATAAGCTTAAAATGCAGAAGCCCAAAGTTTGCAGTCAATATTGTTGACTTTGCAGATTATACATTAGCTCAACTCAAGTTTTACATATATTACTTTTGCAGGGCCACAGGGTCCTCCTGGAGATGCTGGTAGACCAGGTATGTGTAATGATCCAGTACCAACAATAAAATACATCACTCTTTGTGCCTGTTATACTGAATCACCTTTGTGGAACCTTGAGATGACTTTAAACGTACCTTTTAAGTGGTAAAAAAACCATCACCCAAAGGCTTTGATGTGCCAGGCATTTAAAGAGAGGTTAAAGATAATTTTTACATATCTTTACATTCTTATTGTGATTATTTAATATATTACAAGAAAAAAAAATGTGGGATGAGCTCAGTATGTTTGTCTCTCACTCATCCTATTGAGTACTTGATTTGATTTGAACTTCCATTTCTTCTTTAACTTAATTTTGGTATTTTTTCCTCTTCGGTTAGGTGTGTCAAGACCTGGTCTGAGAGGTCCCCCGGGATTTCCTGGACCAAAAGGAACAAAAGGAGAGAAAGGACAAACTGGCTTGTGTATTCTTGGCCCTCCAGGACCACCTGGTATTACTGGCATGCCTGGTTCTGTTGGATTACCAGGTCCTCCAGGGGAACCAGGTGATGTTTCAGTATTGTATATATCATAAACAAGAACAAATCCAGAGTCATCTCTGGATGACTTACACACTCATACTAATGTATGAGTGTGTAAAAATACATTACTTAGAGAGTACATTTTTAGTAATATAGTTGAATATAATTTCTATTTGGAAATTCTGTTTTAAGTTATTCATGAAAGCACATATGTAGCAAAGGTCTCTGCTCCATTGCTAATGAGATTGTGTGGGGAAGATACAATGCCTTCCCAGTATCAAGATTTCTCACCATTTTTGTAACTGTGACTATAGAAATCTGTTACATAAACCCAAGAAAGACTAATGCAAGAAAATCTGTTCTCAAAAATTATTTCTTCCAAAAGTTATACTAAATCTGTGAAACTTAAACTAAAATTAGCTAATCTGAAAGCTAGAGACATCACCTGCATGCCTCCAGAGGTCTTAGTGGGCCTTAGAGGCAGGTTTGAAGTTCTGACAGCATGAAATTAAAGCAATAGTGGTTTATAAAACTTCTAGAAAATGTATTAACTAGAAATACCTATTTAACTAGGAGTACCAACAGCATCATGTTTCTTTTAGATGTAGTATGGCCAAAGCAAGTTTTTCTGAACCAATACCAACATAATGCCTCCTTTTTCTTTCTCTGAAAAATATATCTGTCTGACTTAGGAAAAGCTTGATGAATGTTCTGTTTTTGCAAAGTAATAGTAAATACACGAACATAATTCTGTCAAAGATATATGAGCAGCATTAACAATTTAGGATTTAAAAAACAGTTTCCCTTCCATTCATGGTAAAAGAAAGAAATATGTTTCTGTTCATTCAAATAAAATGGAAATACTTTCACCAGAAATTACTATGCTTTTTAAAGTCTAGACAGATGGGTCCAACAGTCTGCTGAGGTTTATTTTGACATTACATATTTATCCTCAAGTACTTCTAGTTACAGGTGGTTTGGATTTGTCCAGGTAGTCCTCTCTTTTAAATGAATCATAGAATTGTGTCTCAAGTTGGAAGGGATCCATAAGGATCAGAATGCTGTTTCCAGCTCATCTCTGCAACTTTTTTCTCTCTTAGTAACTAGAGAATTGTCTAAATTATCTGCTGATGTAATGGTGCCATGCTCATTTCATTAACAGGCAGAGTAACATTTAGAACAGGCCTACCAGGACTTCCTGGAGAGCCAGGGTGTACAGGACCTTCAGGACCTCCAGGAGATACTGGCATGAAAGGTCAGTTTCAGAAAGCTATCACTCAAAAGTAGATGGTACAACCCAGTAATCTTCGTGGATCCTTACAAAATTTTGAATTTAATTTACCTCTTAAGCCATTTGATGAGTTCAGAGATATAAGAAAATTCTTAAGGAACAGCAAGATGTCTTCCTCCCCTAGAGTAAACAGCAGGTAAAAGAGCAGTGCATGTGGCAGTGCTGAACACCAGTTGTACAGCACTGCAGCCACAGTGTAGATCTTCACTGGAACAAGCTATTGTTACAGATTAGTAGAGTTTTCATATTCTCCCATTGTTATTGTCAACACTAACAAGTGTTCTCTGAGAGAAGGTTCCTTCTACAAATTTCACCGCAGGAGCTGCTGAATCTCTGCCACTTGCTAGTCATTAAAATCACCCAGGCTGTCGTGGAGCCATGTTAGTTTGAAGCCTATGTCCTTTGCTGCTCTTAAGAGAATTTAGCTTATCAGTAGAGTGACTGTATTCAAATGGATTACTTAAAATAGACTTGAAAAAAAATCAGGAGATTTAAACTGAATGTTTCTGCATTCTCAATTAAATGTGACCAGTTCTGATTCACTGTCTGACACAGGTAATTTTGTACTGTGTTGGAAGTGATCTTCCAACAAAATTAAGGCCATGATTCTACCACTCTGGCCAAAAAGTGTTAGCCATCCTCTGTAACAAACTATGTAGCACATTAGTTAAGCTTTGGAATGACTTGCTGTTGAACAACTAATGAATTATTTTCATTCTAGGTGACGAAGCTTGCGAGTGTACTGAT